AAATAAAAATTAGTAATATTAAAATATATAATAAATTAATAATATATAAAATTACACGAAAACGACCGAAATGTGATAAAAGAAAATTAATCTTTTTTTACTATGTCTATAATCAACAAATTATTATTAATTATACGCTGTATTCATTAATTTTAATAATATTTACTACCTAATTCTTTTAAGTTTTAACAAAACTACAAAACTACTAAAATTACCACGCGTTTAAAGGAAGGTTAATTGATTCAACAATTTGGCTAGATCAAAGTCCGCGTCGAGTAGTATGTTAATAATCAACACAATGAAGAACCCACGTTCACAAAGTGAAGAGCGACTTTAATGTGCCTTGCTTCTATGTCGAGTTCTGTGAAATCGATTCACGAAGGAAAGTTAAACGACCCGTTGAATATCAGAGAGCCCGCTACAGGAGGGAACAAATCCTGAATTTTCTAGATTGTTCCCGATGCATGATTACGGCAGCAAGTCAACAATCTTTTTTTTTTAATTTTTACATAATACACATATTATCCAATTTCCGAATATTTTCGCAGTAATTTTAATCCGTATTCAATTATTATGTATTCTTTAAGACACAATATTAAAATTTGTGCAAAAAAAATGTTTTCCCATTATCTATTAGAAAATACATTCCTCTTATTACATGGCCAGGATTTTTAAAAAGAAATGACTACAAATAAATATATTTAATTATAATATTGTAAAATACATGCGCCTTTATTGTAATTAATTATATGCAAATACAAGCGATATTCTTGGGTCTATTCGGGAGAGTCGAATCCGAAAATAGTAGAATTTTAAAATTATAATGTATGTATTACTTAAAATATACTTAGTAACGAAAAACTTATAAAATTTTTATTTAAAATTCACATTTAGAAAAACATTCAAGTAAAATTTATCTACATATCAAATAATAAGTTGAATTGTCTATTCTACTAATATCGGAGTACCTATTCGACTTGTCCCGAATTCTTTATGTATCTGCATATTTTTAATTAATTATATTCATGCAGTTATTAAAAAGAAAAGTAAGAATCTTTTTCACAAAATTATAAATCAATAAAATCTAGAATTTTAATTGTTAAATAATACAGTTTGCGCATATATTTTACACTACAGAATAGTTAAATTATTTAAGAGCTAATCTCGATGTCTTCTTGATGTCGTCTTAACGTCCTCTCGATAGCGGATCTCCTAAAAATGGTTTCTTAAAAAAAACTAAAAATTGAAAAATATATTTATTTGTAATTGCATTTTCTGTCAATTAATTTAAATTTAAATTTACTCATTTTATTCAAATTATTCTATAACTCTCTATATTTATATCTATTGTACCATCTTTTTGTTACTAAAATAACATAAATGTTAAAATTAATACTTATAGGAGAGAATATTTAAAGAGGAAAAAAATCTTCTCTCGGAATATAACTATCTTTGTATAACTTGTCTTTAGAAAATGTATGGCGATCGTCGTTGACTCACTGCTAAAACCATTACTGCCGGGAACCTCTGAGAAATTCAGGTTTAATTTTTGCCATGCAACAGTAATTTCTAGCTTTCAACGAAACTAGGTGTCATGGATGGATCTCATGGACAAGAAATAACTCTTCATGATGAAGAACATTACGATTTCCCGCTGGTACGAAACAAGCATTTGCTAGCGTCCACCTGACATGAAGGACAGCGATAAGACATTACTTTTCATTGAGACTTTTCATTGAGACAAGATCATGGAAAGAATATAAGTGATATTGCGTCATGCATTTAATAAATGTTAATTATAAAATGCAATATCATTCGTCAAATATTGAATATATAAATATTGAAATTTGTGAAATTCATAAATATGTTTAAATTGGAAACACAATAATATATCCTACTTTGTGAATTTTACAATTGCCGAGTGAATCGAATCCAAGTGAATCGAATTTTACAATAACTTCGTCAAATATTTTTGGTTTAATAATATCTCAAAACAAATTTAATTTAAGAAATGAAGAATCAATATTTGATCGTTGATTTCACATCCAAATCTCACATTCTTATAAAAAAAATCTTTTTTTATTATATGTATATCAAAAGTAAATAATTGTTGTTAAAAGTGAAATAATTTTTTAAACACACATAAAATGGTTTGATTAAGAACTTCCCTTATTAACAACTTTTTAACATTAAAAATTAAAATTAAAAAATTAAGAACAAACATTCATTAAATATGCTGTATTTATCTCATCATTTTCTTTTGCATCATTGTTAATTAATTCATCCTTATAGTAACTTTTATTACGTAATTTGAATATACATTGTTAAATCTATAATGTAATTTAATCTATTTTAAGTCGCCATTGCGTTGCTGCTCAATATGTCGTTATTTTATACTAAAATAATGGTTAAATTTGATAGTATATTGTGCCAAATTTAATTATATTGTTTTAGTATAAAATAACGATACATTGAGTAGCAACAATGGCGAGTTAAATTAAGCTAAATTGACACTATAGATTTAATAATATTACATAATTTAATTTAATTTTTGTATTACATTTATTATATAAATAATTTTAATTTACATTAACGTTTATTTGGTTTTTATTAACTTTAATATAATTTTCGGCCTTGTATCGACTTTTTAAAATAAATTTAAGATAAAAATATTGTATAATCTTTCTATTATCTTTCCAAACTTGAAAAGGTAGCAGAAACTTATGATAACTTTACTCTATCCACCCGAGAAAAATGATAGCTGCCCTACCTATCCGAAATATAATATGTGTACCTACCCGGATGATAGTATACGTCTATCTATTCAAATTATAAAAAAAAAAAATATGCTTATTATCTGTATCTAGTGTACCAATTATAATATGAATACGTACATACGCAGATACATGACGCTACTTATAAGACGTTTTAAAACGCTGACTGATTCAACAGAATCAATAATTTGCGTAATCATTCAAAATGTAAGGGATATATTACGTAAATTAGAATATTAATTTAAGAATAATAGGTATATAAGTTAGTATATTATATTGTCTTTAATTACGTGCCAGCGCACGTATAACAAAATTGCTTATGTAATCTTTGTGTTTTATATACTATATATTAGATAATATTGGTTATTTATGGAATATATAGATTTTATTTATACTGCTGTACAAAGATTCTTCAATTGACCCTATCTTTTTGTTGATATTATTCCTAATCGCACATTCTAGCTTTTCAGCCAAAGATAAAGGAGAAGAACTCCGTTTATCCGTTAAACTTTTCTATCACAGACTATCATTATCGATCTATTATTACTGGTTTATCATTGTCGGCTATAATAGATAATATGTTCAAAAAAGCAGATTTTGATGAAGTATCTAAATATTTAGTCAGATACAGATCTAAAAAATAATTTTATTTTAGACCATTAAAATAATTATGTAGAACGCTTGAATTACTTGTTAGAATCAACTCGTTTTGCATTACCCATCATGCTTGATTATTACGTAATTATTTTAATGATCCAACGAAATTATTTTTAGATATGTATATTTAACTAATTTTTAGTTACTTCAACAAAATCGATTTTTCCATGTATGCTCGATCGTTATACATATGCGTCGATCATACCACGATGCTTCGCAATAAATAATTAATTAAATAAGAATATTAATTCGTACAAATTGTCTTATTGTTAGTTAATCGAAAATATTAAGTGCATGAATCATATTAGAATAAACGAGAATTTTAATCAACTACTTCGCGTTTTTTTGTTTTACACGAATTTCTATTACAATCAACACTATATTTAGGCTTGAAAAAAAGAACGAACTCGATTACAAATACTAAAATGTATTTCATAAATATCAAGAATTAAATGTTTCGATATAAACGGAAAGTGAATATTTAAAGATAATAAAAATTGCAAAGTGAATTAAAGACTCTAAATCCGTTATTATTGTTACTCGAATATGATTTCGCATATAACGCTGTTCATAATCCACGCAATGTAATGTCCACCGAATCTCACCAAAAGCAACTCAGATAAAAAATAGGATAATAAATGGCACGAGATCCGGAAAAGAGATAATAAATTCCTCTCACACATATATACAATATACTAAAAAAATTTTTGTATGAATAGTGGATATATATAATGCTTTCCTAAACCAATTTGTACATTTAATATTTAATATTTAATCTTGGAATTAAAAAATTAAAAAGAACAGAAAAAGAATAATAATAGTTCCAGAGCTTCTTCCATAATTTTTTGTATCAAATTGTAAGATAATTCTTCAATACAAAATATAACTATCTTGTTTTTTTATTTTTATTTTTATTAGGTGTTGGAATTAATTCGTAGCGTTTTACAAGTGATGGGAAGTACTTTCATTAATGTATTTTTTAATGCTCATGTGAAATAAATAACATTCTTTCATTAAAAAACGCTACGAATTAATTCCAACACCTAATATTATTTATAAGAATCTAAGATTTTATTATTCGAAAAAGAGATAAAAAAATAAAGAAATAAATCATTAATTTATATTGATAACAAAATTCTATTGATAAAAACTGAATAAAATTATACATTTAAAAACTATTTCTTATTTGATCTATTATTTAATTTTATTTTCCTATATTTATAATTTTAAAGATACCAAAAGAGTGCAAAACGTAATAAACATCAATATAATTTGACGCAACTCAATAAACTTTATTTTATAAGCTTCGTGCATATGTGCGAATATATCAAGCGTAGTAAATAATTGTGATAAAATAATAAGAGATTCCAAAATTAAATATTTATCTCAAACTAATTTAAGATATTACATTTATACATTTTAAGGCAATGGATCTCTCTATAAGATGTAATATTAATCTGTACTAATTTTATTATAATTTGATAATTTATGTATCTGAATGAATTTAATATATATCTCAGATTATCGTAGATCCATGACCTTAATGAAAAAAAATTTGCTTTCACTCACCGATGCGCAACGGGCGAAGTTATCAGCCATTTAGCTCTACGATGAGTTATTAGCCCTACGATGATACTGTAACATAAACATATAAAATTTTAATTAAAACAACGTTCAAATAACTAATATTTCATCATTAAACTTTTTTATGCATTAAACTTTTCATTTATTTTTCAATTAAATGTTTGCTAATCACATACTTAAAAAAAAAATCTCTATAAGAACAAACTTTTATAAAATTTGAAATTCTATCTTTTTCTCTAATCATTATTTGAAAATCAAGACAAATTCTAAATTAAGATAAAACAATTCAAGTAAACAATTAATTGTATGTAAGTAAGAAATTGTATTCACCCCAAGATTGCTCCGCCGGTACCCGACGCCTCTTTCAGACCTCCTCCTCCTCTCAAGATTGAGTTGTCTCCTTCTCCTCTCATACAGGACACTCACAAAACACACTCGCGTATAATACGTACACTACAATCGCACGCGGATTAATTATTAATAAAAGTCTTTCGCACGATACTATGACATTTCAAGTTTATAAAATGTTAGAATTTTCAGTTCGATGGAATCAGATCCTCGAGTCGCCGAGTATATGCAGGACAAATACAATAATTTTCAAACAAAAGGTTAAGATTCGCGCGGAAGAAAACGGAATCGATTATATTGAATTCGTCATCTGTATTCACAAATCGTGTTTAAAATTAACTTAAGCATACACCCTAGCTACAGTTCAAGTGAGCTGTACTACAAGCGATATCGATGAAGCAGGGTAGACGTGACGAGAGTCTCTAAGAGAAAGTCCCATTGCTAATGTCTAACCTAGACAATTCAAGAAATGGGATCCAACTCCTCGTCACAAAATAAACCGACCGCTAGGCTCTGACCAAGTCAGATTAAACGCGATTCAATATGCTTTGAGAGTGTTGGTTGACATAGGTAAACAAGATCAGAGAAATGGACAACCCAGAGACGAACCCAAGTCAATTGGTCGGACTCGTACCGTTTAGGACCGAACCGTTTGCCAACAGACAGCGTGTTCTCAATCAGTCAACAGCAACAATAAATTGCTAAACCGCGTAACATTGCAAAGTACATGACATTACGCGGCTAGCATCACCTCGTGCCCGAAGCACTTGGTGTGAGAATATTGTTGTAATGATTGTGACCATCCAGCAATGCCTCAATGCGATTCTATAGATATCGTCAAGACGTCGAAGATGTGATTCCTCCACTTCGAACGCGGATTTAAACAAATAAACTTTAAAAAAAATATCCACTAGTCCGATAATTTAAACGGCACTCCCGAAAACAAATGTACGCGACAAATCAGCTGCGGTTCATTTGTTTAATTAAATCAGCGATGGTGGGTCAGAAGAATCTGAAAAAAATAATTATAAAAAATATTATTCTGCATTTTCAATCCGAAAATAATAGTCATTTATACTTAAATTGATAGGCAAAATGATATTTAAATCAGCGGAAACTTTTAGGCGCAACGTAAGAAATATTTAGATTTAGATGTGGTTAATTATTATCGTTCAATTCTTATTATCTAAATAAATACAAAATGCATAATAATTATTTCAATAGTACTCAAGTTATCTAGATACTCTTATGATATATTAATCACAAAAGTTAATCATGAGGGCTGATAAAATAAAAGAGCTTTCCGTCTTATAAAACAAAAAAACTTACAAGAATACCGTGTGCTGTTAATAAATCATATAATTTAATTTAATTTATAATTTATAATTAAAAATAACATACTACACATTGTTCCTAGCTATATTTATTTTTGTAAAAATAAATTTAATTTTTTATCCATGCAATTTTTAAGTACTTTTCAATACTTTGGAAAATAAATGATAAAATATACGTAAGTTTATTACAAATTCGTGTCTCTGATGTAACGACCTATGTAATCGTGATTAATTACGACATGTAATTTATGATAACTTCTCAGATGAAGACATCCAGATATTAGATGGACTAATCCAGAAATCTGGGAGCGGTCTAATGACCGCTTAAGATTTTAATCCGAGAATGATTAAAATTTAATCTGACGAAATCTTTTAATTTTCAATTATGTTTGATCGAACGTAATATAATAATTCTTCTCTCATTATAAATAAAATAAATGTACTTTTTAAAACTTTTACAGTGACTCTCGCTCTGAAGAATGAAATCTCATTCTTACAAAATATTGAAAATTGAGTTCTGTTTTTTAAGACTTGCTCAGTTTTCACTCTTTAGAGTGAGATTCTATTCCAAAAAATTTAGAGAGATAAAAGATATTATATTACATATATTATTTTATGTATTTTGTAGCCATTGTCGATATTGGCATTCTACTTAATTATGCTTTTTTAGTTAGATTGGACCTTTTGTTGTTTCTTGTCGTATCGGTTTTAACTCCATTTCACTAGAAATCGGTAAAAAGGAAATAAATGTCTATTATCGGATAATCGTCACAATTGTCAATAAACAACATTATTCATGTTAAGCCTCTAGACGATCAATATTATTGCTCATCTACGATCATCTAGGAGACTATATTGAGCTTCCAGAGCATCTACTGTTTTAAATTGTTTAAAAGGGGCATCAATAATATATTGTACAAAATGATATAGATTCTAGGAGCTGCTTAAGACATATGCATCAATCATATCATGTTACGAAAGATGCATGATAATAAGAAATTATTAAGCAAGACTACTGTATGTACTGCACTAATTATAGAATTTTAATAATTGCATAAAAGAATACTAATTAAACAATTTTATATTTTGCCTGATAAATCCGTCCCTGATGCCAATTTCATCCAGGTTTGGCTTACACATACTTCACCTAAATTTTGTTTATGCCTAGATTTTTTTCATCTTATACATAACTATAATATATTCATAATTCATAAAAATATGATTAATTAGAATTTCATGGTACTTCAAATTATTTGTATATATTCTCAATAATCAAACGTTATTTTGAGAAAAATAACGCGAAGAAAAAATACAATAGTCATAAAACACAATGACTATATTCAACAAAGAAAGCAGCTTTGCAACTATTGTAAAATTTTTTAATGATAGATTTATATTATATATTTAAATTCAGTGAACTAAAAGTAAAACCAATCATATTAAAGAATTTTATAACAGTTGCAAAGCTGCTTTTTCTGCTGAATGTAGTCTATTATATTTTGCTTTCACAACGTCTCGCGAATTAACGGAAGGAACGAATATCAGCACAAATAAAAAGAGAGTAGAGAGAAGAGAAAACAAAAGACGAGAGAGAGAAAGAGAGAGAGAGAGAAAGAAAAGAAAGGAAATTGTAACAAATATCCGAAACGCTTACTAATCAAACTACGAAAAAAGAAAGAAATGTTGCCTCAATACACTTGTGAATCACATCAATCATGGGAGTTGATTGCTCACGTGTGTTGCTAATTGCACAATTATTCGTAGAGAATGCTCGTGTCCAGTAGTTGTTCATAATTGTTCCGATCGCTTTTCAAAAAGTAACGCGAAATACACGAAGAGGTTTCGTGCCGGCGGCATTACCTACTGTCCGAGGATGCGTTCCATTTGGCGCTTATGGGCATCATTTGTCTTTATTTAATATTTGATAACAAGGATGAAATAATTCCAAGAGCACTGTGAACAGCAAGTGGGACGCAGCCCGAATGTCGCCATATCGAATGACTGCGCGGCGATCCCGCGTAAACAGCCGTATGACGCGCCGTGCGACAAATAAACAAACGCCAAGGCCGCATACCGGCTGATAACGTTTACCCAGAAACGTCTACAATACGCGTAACGAAGTAGTAAATATACATACCAAATATTCTGTTCTCTATAATTCCGTAAATACCGTATCACTCCGATGCTTTCTTTGCAGGACTACGTTGCGCCAAGTAACTGCCGCCATGATGCGAATCGTTTACGACGTGAAGTTAGCTGCGATCGTGTCTCGCGAGGAACGATCGTGATTGCCGCGGCGCCGCTTTCTCGTTTGAATGTTGACGCGAACGTAAAGGATTGAAGCCGTATATTATAGTCGTTCTCGTTACGAAATATTTAAAATGTTTCAATGCATTTAATCTAAATATTTCTTGCATTCCAAACTGGTTTTGATAAATTTCTATTATTGTAAATTAAGTTTAATGATTACTTGAACAAAATTTAGTCAAAATAATTGTTTTAATCTAAATAAATTAAATAAGTAACTAAGTCGATGATTGATATATAATAAATAATATGCAAATTATGATTATTTACTCCAAGATTTCTTCATTGTCATCCAATGCCTTTTCTAGATGTCCTCTTCCTATTTCTCCTGCTCCTCTTTTCCTCTCATTCTGAGATTAAGTTACCAAGTCCGGTGCACTCATTCTATACAAAAAGACGAAAACGGAGTTAGTTAGGTTGATCACACGACATATTACTCTCGAAGTTGAAAGTAATTAAGATATGATGAATAATTGCTTCTTGTCGTGAGAATTATCGCGAGATATAATCATTTCGAAAGATAATACATGGAGCGGCATGACTACTTGTGCTGAAACCATATCGACCAATCGATTTTATTATACGAAATATTTAACGAATAAAGATTCGAATGATTTGTTCCAGAGAAATAAGTTTTAATTTCCGTATAAGTTACTCCGATTTTTACTTTACATAAAGAAATCGCATGAAATATTTTTCGACAAACAGATATTACTTTGATGTATATAAATTATTTATTATGAAATTAATTATTCGCAAAGGATGACTGCGTTTTTCGAGATAACGCAATAATGAGCTTTTCATACAATAAGCAATATTGCTATTGGTATGAATTTTATATATATTCATAATACATGTTTCTATCTGTAGCTTTCATAATATAAATAATAATAACAATATGATACATTAATATCTTATTATTATAATTATAATAATAAATATCTTATTATTATGATTTCCTATATAAACTATATAAATTATTTCGAATATACATTAAGAAAAATATATTAAGAGAAAGACATATATTATTGAATATTTTAATATAACTCATATGTAATTCTGGGATAATTTACAATAATTTACAACAAAGGCAATAAAATATTTTACAATATTTTATTTTTGTGTTTTAAAGAAGGCAGTTATTAATAAATTTGTATGAACAGTCTATCAAAAATTAAACACAAATAATATAACTACATAATAATAATTACATAATTATCTGTGGTTTTTATTAAATATATTAATTTAAAATATATGTGTGACTATGAAATATGTTCCATGTTATCTGTACATAACATACAAGTACTTGTATTTGAAAAGCAATCTTATTTTTGTATTATCTTGTATAATATTTAATCCTGAAAAAATATTTAAATATTCAGATTTATTCGTTATAAGGATACAATTTGAAAGGACATGATTAATTACGATCCCATAGCAATCCCTGATGATTACATGTAATTTTGTAACGAAATACAACCAAAAGTTATGAATTATAATTTCATTTATACCCAATGGATGAATCTCAAATAAATGTAAGATTAATAAATGATCGATGTATTTGTTAATTAAATCCGATATTAAAATGTATATTTTCAACAGTAGACGTCATCTCGATGCGCTTATAAATTATCAATTACAGGAATTGATAATTAATTGCGCGTGCTGTTAATAACGTATTTATTCGTAGGGAATGCTTTTGGCATTTCATACTTGTCGCAATTGCGTCTCGAGATGAAATGCGAAATACACAGAGTGGTTAGCGTTATACTGTCTGCTCTTTCGAGTACTACCGTACGAATGATGGCACGACGACCGACTGTAAACACTGTGTGCTATATGCCGCATAAACAGACGCCAAAGCCACATGCTCTAACTGAGTTGTCATTTCCATGAAATATTTCCTATATGAAGAGACATAAATAAATGCCGAATATTCCTTTCTTTACTTTTCAGAAAGAAACTTTTGATAAATGAGCCATTATCAAATATTTTTTAATGTTTGTCATTTAGCGTTTATATATAGTTTATATCACATCATTACTTCATGCTCTTAATTGAAAATTAGTGAACGAATTAAATTAGAATTAAATACAGAATTAAATGGAGAACAAAAATTAAATATAAAATAATATAAAATTTAATAAATAAAATAAAATAAAAAAGATATAATTTTTTAAAGCCAATAAAGAAAAATGGATTCGCTATTATCGCATAATATAACGACAATCGTTATCCTATCATTCGGATATCTATTCGTATGAATTCATACGAAAGCCTGATAATGCTTATTGCCTCGATAAATGCTTATTGCCTTAATCCATTTACGAATCATTATCGCAAATGTTAATAAATAACGAATCATTGCTAATTATCAGAATAATCACACAATTGCGTCTCAAAATATTTAAATACTTTACAAAATATTTATCGTGAATAAATTCTCTTTTATATATTTCCAATTAATTTCAATAAATTATATTAGCAAAGCATATAGAATTGAACAACTGCATAATTAATATTTATTAAAATCATTATGTATTAAAATATGATGACTTCATGCACTGTAAAAGAAAAACATAAGCTTGAAATTTTTGTCAAAATATCTATATTTTTTTTA